AACGTCAACATAGGCCGACCTGGGAGTGAGGATGTGTTGTCTGAGTCGGTGCACACAGCTTTCTTTCACCTATTCCAATACATGTGGTGTTGTGCACATTCACGCCTGTTTACAAGGGTGGAAACACAACTGTCAATCAAATAATTGTATGCATGGATGTCAAAATATCAGAACCTCATCATTCTATACCAGAAGAAGAAGATGATGATGATATAATGCTTGGAATGATGACAAGTGTAACTAAAGGTAATTGTGGGTTGAGTTGCATCATGTCTCTTATGACAATGGTTATAGCGACAGATACCACTGAGTGACCACTAAACAACTGCAACAAGATGGATGTCACTCAGCGACATTTCAGGAAGACTGCAACCATAGGTACATAGCAGCAAACATTCAGCATGGCAGAACATTGGCTACATCGATGTAAACAAATCAGCTAAGACATATGTCTCCTTTAAAAAGCTGGTATGAGAGACCATTACACCCTTACTTTATAAAGCACAAAACCAATATCACTCAACTATTAGCACTGGTGCAGCACTTAAACGCTGGTTATACATATGCATTCAGGATACTACAGGACCTGAAAAACACACACAATGTAATATTATGATAACTTTGCTAAATGTTTAAGTTTCTTTATGAGCTCATTTAAGAAAAATAATGCATTGATTGGTTAGGAACACATTCTTTTCTGCAATTATTCTGTGTTAGTCTTGTCACTTTCATACACAAAAACTATTTTCGCTTAGCTTGGCTGAATATCAATAAAAACGACACACCATCTTGCCTATGATCCACTTTTTTCTCACTTTGGACGAGTCGCCCACTATCACTGAGCATATGCTAAAGAGTAAGCATGGAGTGCTCATTGTGGTACTTTTCTTCAACAACTAATAATCTGCAATAATCTTAGTTTATCTTTCGGGAAATGTCAGGCAGTGTTTTTTGAACGAACCTTAGAATTCTTGAAAAGGTTGGGATGTAGCATAATATTGAAAAGGGAATATTAATGTAATAATGTACCACTAGTGACAATGCAGAAACACAACGTTAAAGTGTTAGCACTTCACCTCAATCAACATGTGTTCAGCTGTGCAGGTTTGGTGTATTTCAAGCTGTCTCTCCATAGGATAGTGCATTTGCTTGTCAGGAAGTGTCATCATTGACCTTTTACAACAGAGTCCTCACAGAAAATAATGAACTGTGCTCTGGCCATGAAATCATGATATAAGTTATGGTGATTAAACTAGCAGTGGCCTTCAGCGATACCAAATATATCATTGCATAGGTCTCTTGTTAAATTCTCTTTTTGCCAGTAAAGTAAGGACATGATAAAAGATGTGTGAGCATAGCTAACACTGTGTAAAAGAGACAGTGTTTATTCCCCCAGTATTTTTGTTCAGAGGCTAAGATACACAAAAGATCTGTTTGCAATGCCAACGCAGGTCCCACAGGGATGATGTGGCCTTTCTCTGCCCCATTCAATATGTTTCTAATGGGATAGGTTGTATTCAAAAGGAAGAAGCAATAACAATAGATGAGGATGGATATATTGGTATCTCATATCTCACACAGGTGAATGGATGTTAACACCCTCTTATTCTCCTTTTGTCCAACACATGCACACAGACACAAAAGGAAGTGATATGACTGAGGCCCCCAGCTGGCTTCTTTAGTCGAATTACATTTTGCTTCCATTTTACTTGACTATAGGCCGTTACAAAAAGGTTCTTCACTTATGATGCCACTAAAACACAATGTTTGCTGGAATGCCTTTTTTTTCTTGAAGCAGCTCTATTAGTTTTTATAGTTGTTGTTAGACCCCTCACTGGCTTGAGTCCATTGAAACTGACGCACTAACACACAGGCGCTACACAAATGCACACGTATATAAAACTTTCCTTCAGGAACCAACAGTCCTTGCATTCAAACTCATGACATGTTTAAATGAACTATTGTTTGCAATGTGCAGGGAAATGAACAACGATATTGCCTCATTCTCCCCCTTACCCACACACACACACCCCCTTACCCACCCACCCACCCACCCACACACCCACCCACACACACACACACACACACACACACACACACACACACACACACACACACACACACACACACACACACACACACACACACACACACACACACACACACACACACACACACACACACACACACACACACACACACACACTTAACTCAATTAATGCATTTCAAACCATGCGCACAATGATACACCTACATAATTTCACACTCACAAATGTGTTTCTTTGCAGCACGTATTCTCAGCGTGAATGTGATTATCATTTGCCAATATGACTGTTGTTGATTTCATAAACAGACTCTGCTGTCAGCTCTTACCCCAAGGCATTCTTCGGATTTTGGGTGATGTGTTGTGTGCTTTTTTTACTTGCGGTCCTCAAATTGGCCTGGCAGTATGTCAGTATTTTCTCACTCTGGAAGCCTCTGTCCCTTCCTCTCCGGTTGCATTATCTCTCTGCACTCCCAGAAATGTCATCCTCAGACACTATAAAACTGCCTTGCTGTTGATTTCATACAAACAAATGTTATATTAATGTAAGTTAAGTAATAATGGATGAAATAAGTAGACCATTTGAGCAACAAGATGGTGATACATGGGGTATTATCATCTTCATCTTGTTGTTTTTCTGGTTTGGTTTTGAAATAAGGTGAAATGTGACTTTGAAGCCCTGAAGCCCTACAGGTAAAATAAACAATATTTGCTTCTACTTCAAAACAATAAGGACACATATTTGTGTTTGTTTTAAATAGCACATTATTCATTGTAATTATAATCTCAAAGCGATAGTGATTTACCTCACAGTCTGATTCTGCTGTGAAGCTTTTCGGCATTTAGAGAAAAAAAAAGAATCAGCTTCAGTGCCTGACTCACTGTTTTGTTTTCATTGACATAGTAATAAACTATTCTAATTAAATGTTCTAATGAGTCTCCCACTCAAAGGAAAGTTTTCGATAGAGCCTAATAACACACAGGCTCATTGTCTGTGTAGGCCCTCGGCACTGAGGTTAAATCTAATTCTTATTATGAATGGCGAGTCATACGTTGCACTGAACCGTCTTTCAACTCAGTTTCCGTACTTATGGAGGATCACGCCCAGGTCAATCCTGCATCTGGATACGCTCACACATCCAGTCAGAGCGAGGAGACAGCTCGGCACAGGGGATGTCAGATCAAAACAGAAGAAGGCAGCTTGGCACAGGTTGCGTCTGATTAAGTCAGCATCTAGAGAGGAGCAGCGGAGAGAGGGAGCTGAGATAAATGACACCAGCTTGACGGCCTTAGATGGAGACGATCTCCAAGGGACTAATCAAGCACACAATAAACAAAAAGCAAACATCATACGGGATAGGAGCTCATTCTGTTCAAGACAAAAGGCATTAATATGTATTTCTCTAATGAGCGCCTCCTCTCAAGGGGATGGTGGGTGTTTCATCCCATTGATTTCCACTGAAAATCACTTGTATTGAACATAAACCGGTGGACTGTTCTGCAGCATCATTACAAACCCTGCCTACAATATGCCACCCCAAACCATTTACAATTAAATAGCCCAACTCAAGATAATTGGGGTCTACAGTATGTCTAACTAGTTCATTATGTATTAATAAACTCACAGTGTGCGTAGAGATGTGTTAATTGGCTCAAGTTGGTGGTAGGCACTATACAGAACTTGCCCACTGCCAGGGGAGGAGGAGGTGGTGGTAGTGACTGTCAGTCAGCTCGACTCCTTAGGGAGAGCAGAATAAAGAGGAGAGGGAGAGGAGATAATGTAGTATAACAGTGGGCATCAGTGGCGGCGCTAGGGGGTGGCTAATTGGGCTCAAGCCCCGGATGTTTTCTGAAAAGCCCCGGATGTTTCACTCAAAAAAATAAAAAATAAAAATTTAAATTTAATTTTTTTGAAAACGTCTCGGGAGTAATGTGCAGTACCGGAGTCCACCAGAGAGGCAGCCACTGTGGGACATTAGCCTGCGTACTGCGTAGCCTGCCCTGAAGAAGAAGTGATCCTTCCTAGTGCCTGACGAGTTTTAAGCTAATAGCCTATACAGTTATGGATATTAGAAAGTTATTGTCATTGAAGCAGCCAGCGCCACAACCTGCAGCAGCAGCAGTATCAGCAGCTGACAACAATGTCATCACCAGCAGTCAAGAAATGGATGATGTTTCAGGTTTGTTAATCTAATGGTGATATCTGCACTCTGGCTGGCTGAGTAAGAAGTGAAAAAGATGTAACGTTAATGTTATAGCTAGTAAACATGGAGTAACCACACTAAGTAGTATACCCTTATATGTTAGTATGTATACAGAACATGACTAAAAATTATCCTAAGATGTAACGTTAACCCTTCATAACTCAGTCTACTTTTAAGACACTAAAATAACGTATTCCAATTTTTATTTTGTTTTCACGCGTGGAATTATACCGGCTCTCGTTTCAGTACACATAACAACAGAACTATGGAAAGCCTCAAGTGCCACTATTCGCCCGTTTTTCGCGCGTAAAACGCGCGTTTATTTGATCAAATAAACGCGCGTTTTTTTAATATGATAATGAGCCCCACCTTCTGTTTTGCATAGCCAGTACATTTAAAGTGTGTGCAACCAATCAGTGAAGAGTTAAGCCAGACTAAAGCAATCTGTTGATGAAAAGTTCCTGTAACCTACCCCATTGTGAGATTTAGATAGAAAATAATCACAATAATTAAATCTAAATTAAACATTTACAGTAAATAATATAAAGTATAAACATATCTACAGTCACAATTTCATTAATGTTATTCATACTTTCTGTTGTGTAGTTTATTAATGTTCCCGTGCTTTCAGTTTCCATCCAGTAATATAATCAGTAGAGGAAAAGTGTGTGTGTGTACAAGATAGATATTAACTTTACTCCACAATTTCCTACCGTATTATTAAATAAGTCTGCTGAGGGGACACCTGTAACTCAATTCATGTGATTTTTGGGTGATTTATTCAATAAAAACCTCTGTATTTTCAGAGTTAATCAAATGACAGCCACATTGTTATCTAAAGTGTCTCAAACACGTTTAAGGAGTGCAATGCAACTGAAAGGTACACTAATAAAAGTAAAACGTTGTACCAACAAAAAAATATTAGAGTAATCAATCACACGAAATATTTTACATTGACTCAATTTCTTCAGATCAATCTGTATATTTTAACACCAGAGCACATTTATTTGAATGAAAAACAAGTTGTTCACACAACCAGCTTTGGCCTCTGAGGCAGCCATTACCTGATCTTAGACATGTTAATAAGTACCACAGTTAAAATGCAGTAATATGTGGGCCGCTTCCAAACATCAAACTCTTAGAAAAAAGACTTGTCCTTATTATCCACTGCACACTTTTTTAAAGCAACACTGACAACGTGCGCCTGTGAGACATGTAATCTCTGAAAATGATTAGACATGCATAACTTCTACAGTGAAAATCGGTCATACTGTAAGTGCAACTTCTGAACACAACACTTTTTCGCAAATGTTTTACAATGCATAATTATTATAAAACCTTGGTTTTAGAAACCTTACCATGTAACAATGGTAACTGTGAGTGAGTGCAACAAAGTGTCTACCAGCTGGGTTCTCAGTCTATTCACTTTTGGGCTCATCTTTTTCCCCTCCATCAGGACTTTTTGCACAACTTCAAAAGTGGATTGCAGTTATTTCTGATATCTTAAGTTCAGTCAGACAACTCACGTGTTCCTTTAACATGTTTATTAGAAGCAGCATATAGTTGAGTTTGGCGACTAGGCTCGGGCATCATCACTCCATAGATATACATAGCACGATGAGTGATGATCAAATAACTAACCCCCGAGCCTACAGGTGGAAGCTGGGGTGGTGGTGGGGCAGCGAGCAGCAGCGACGTAGAGGTAGCTGCAGCAATAGCAGCAGCAAGCAATGCATGGAGAGAGATCTGGCAGGTTCAATAGAGCGGCACATTAAGGAGACTCTGTTTGGTTGGTTGTAGAGTGGCAAGGGGGCGTTATGTATGAATGCAGCATAAGTGCTCGAGTTGACTGCCTGAACTAGCTCGCAGGCGTCGCCCCATTTCAGTGCGTATATGAGCCCGAAGAGCATGGCAAAAGCTGTCGCAACCGAGGGCAAGCCGCTGAGGACCTCTGTTCCTTCGATGAGAACCTTGACGTCTTTGGGTCGATGAAGCTGATCCTCTTTCCCAGTGTCAAAGGCTTCCATTGTTGCCTGCTCCAGTTCTCCAGCCTCAGCGTCCTGCAGATCATGCAAAAAAAAGGGGAATGGATGAGGACCACAGAGTGTAGTTCAACAGGCCTGAGGCGTCAGTTCAGTCGGCCCAAGAGGAAAGCTCAGGAGGTCATCACAAATGACTATCTTTCTAACCAAGCAGTTATTTGCATGCAGTACAAATATGTTTTCTTTTATGAACAAACTTCTTGTGAGTGAGTGGGAGGTCTTACCTGGAATTCTTTGATGAGATGGTCAACAGGTTCACCCAGGTAGATCATTAGAGATTTGAGGATGCATTCTCTTCTGATGGCGATGTCCACAGTCTGAGTAAGAACAGAGATATATATAATAAATTAAATGCAAATAAAGGAGGATTCAGCCACTGATCCCACAGATAAAAAACTCATTCATAGATACCTCATCCAAAACCTGCAAGATCCCGGTGGTCTTCTGTTTCACAACTCCTCCCCTGCTCCTGATGACCTGAGTGTTTGTCCAACTGCGCCAAGAACTTTGTCTCCAATGGAATTGTTGTTATGCGCATTAACTCAGCATTTACCTAGAAAATATAAGCAGCATAGAAAACAAAAAACACTGAGAATTTATAATACACATGTTTTTTATAAAGAGCCAATGGTTTGATTAAAAGTACTCCAAGTCAGCTTGTATGAATGTAACATTTAAATTAATTAATCCACATATTTATTGAAAACCACCACCAAATAAAGACACTAAGAGCAATAGATGTAAAGCTTATATTGTGATATATATTAAAAAATAAACGTCAACATATTTGCCTCGGCTGTCTATAGTTGTTAGTTAGTTGGGCCCTCAATTCTTCTCCACTACAGGCTTACAATCAAGGGTTTCATCAAAATAATTACCTCTTCCATGTGAAAAAGTGCAGGCCACCGCTCCAAGAGGCCTTCAATGCTTGGCCTCCGATGCACTATTTCTTGTCTTCGGTATCCAAACGCCTTCGCCATCTTTTTTTTTATTGATTGCCGGTTGTTTCTTTTCTGTTGTTCAGCCAAAAGGGAAATTGTCTCTTGCTCCATGCTTTCTGGAGTCTCACCGAGGCAGTGCTAGGCGAGACTTCTTTGCTGGCTGGGTTGATCGTGATGGCTGTGGTGGAGGCCTTTGTCCCGAGGTGTATCTTAATCTTGTGGCAGATGGAGATGGAGGCCACTGTAGTGATGATGGTCCTCTGGTCCTTTGCGGTGAAGGCCCTTGAGCCACGGTAGATCTTGACGTGGGGGCAGGGACAGATGGAGGTTCTTGCTGCTAGGCCCAGGCAGCTGTGAAATCTGAAAAAATATATAGGACAATAATTACTACTAAGTTTGTAAAATAAAGTTCAAGTGGAATGTTTCTCAAGCACAAATAACAATGCACAACTCAAAATAAAATTATCTCTCTCTCTGGAGGAGGAGGAGGAGGAGGAGGAGGAGCGTGTGAGAGACAGAAAGAGAGAAGTTGTTAGTATTTGGTGCTAGCTCGGAGCTAACGGAGATTAGAAGCCATTTCAACAATAAGGAGAGGGAGAGCTCTCTCCTGTGGGACTGAGAGAGATAACGTCAGCTCAGGGAGGTTTGGTCATCATTTCCATCTATGTAATATTAGTTGTATATAAAATGAGTTAATAAATCATTCCACTGTGTGCAATAGGTCAGTACAAAATAAAAAACACAATTTGAAAGGGGAGTGATTAGTAAAATATGCATAAATAAAAAGAAAGAATGCAGACTAGGTAAGATAAAGATAGGAGAGGAGTTGATCAAATATGTGTTATTGCTTGTGAGCAAGCAGGATTTTTGATGATTGAAATATATACTAGTACCCCCCCTAGAGGATGTGAGGTCATCACAAATAAAACAGGTTCACATGGATAGGATACTAGATAAGTGTGCACACTCATTATATACACTACACATTTTTCTTGGATTTATTAACACTATAGTCCCTAATATATTTGTAGAAAGGCAGGAAATGGAATTAAATTGAGAAAATGTTTCATTGCCCCCTGTTTTGTGTCCCCCCCACTTCGCAAACCAAAGTTACACCCTTACACCCACACAATGCAAGTACACTATTACTGTAATATTTACATTTACCTATCTTCAAATGGATCCTTGTTGCTGTATTCTTCTTCTTCAGGAGAGTAGAAGCCTCCAGGTTCTGATGCTCCATCTCCACTGCTGCTAGTGTTACAAGTCCGCTGTGCAGAGCTGGTAATCAGATAATAAGCCTGTTGATCAGGAGAAAATAATGAAGCAGAGGGAAAGTTGCTGCCGTTTGTGTGGTCGTTCTAGCCAGAATGTATTAAACAAATTAATAAATTCACTTACAAATTATATCTGTTTTCTCTATTTATCATTCTTTGTGTAACCGGTCTGGATTGACGCCACATGTATCTCTGCGTTGTGTCGAATGAAAACGACGTCCTTCTTGTCAACCAGGTTTATTATCTGTGCAAACAGAATATAATGACAGCAGGAAATGGCTTCACCAGCTTTCTACCTCAATACTTCGCCTCAGTGAGGCCTGAAGCTAACTGAGAATGTAAACATACATTTAGAAAATCAAAATAACCGTATGACATATGTGTCTCTAATAAAAAATGGACATAAATCCAGATGCCATATTATGACTTTGATGAAGGATTAAAGCCTTTTTCATTTACAGTATATAATACAGTGATTACAGATAACACACACAACCCGGTCGACTGTACTCACTTTAACATGGCTGTTGTACAGGCACACTATTAGCATAGCATTAGCGCTTTAGCATTTAAATAATATGAACAATTATGACCTCAGACCAGCATTTCACATATTTATACAAACAGAATAAACTTGAAATGTAAGCCAAACTAGTGCAAGGGAGTCATACACATGGTAACATGGTAGAGCCCTACATTATTCAGGGAGCAACAGCCTGAGCTAAAGAAGCTAGCGGACGCCATTAGCCACACGCTAGTGGCGTAGCTCACAGAATGACATTAAACTACACATAAAACAGTTTCAAACACACTTCTTTGATCGAAATATGACATAATCTGTGTCCACACTACTAACCTGTTGAACAGGAGAAATGAATGAAGCAGATGGGAACGTTGCTGCCATGTGTCTGGTCGTTCCATGGATGTATAATCGTTCTTCTTCATCTCTCGGTTCTTTGGCGGATTACAAACAACTTTAAGGTGCATACCGCCCCTTACTGTACAAGAGCGTGTATCAACATATCATCCTGTCAGCACTTGTGGAATTATACCACTGTGTTTACGTTGTTTTCAATTCTTCCAATCAATCCTTTTTCACTCAAATACTTAAGAATGGCCTTCCTGGTAGCTCTTACCCCCTCACCTTCTGTTCCCAGTATCCCCATCAGGCTCCACTCTCCCTGTCTCTTAGTTTTTCCCTCTCTGTTTTGTACATGTTGCAGTGTAATATGATATGTTCCACATTTTTTTTAACTCCACAGTTCCTACGACATAGAGTAACATTCAATGCTGTGTGATCCAGTCTGAGTCTAGCTATCATGATTTCCTAGATTAAGTTATATGAGTAATTCTTCTCTGACAGTTGTTGTTGACTGTATACTTTTTTAAATGGATAATGAATCTGTGCATATCACCACCCTATCTGGTCTGACCTCTTCAACCCACTGTAATCCTATTATTACAGCCAGCATTTCTGTTGCACACTGATAATTGATCTGACGCTCTTTTTGAAATTGATATTTTAAAGTCTGGGATATATATATACCAACTCCAACACACTCTTCCTTGTTCTTAGAACCATCGGGCGGTGGTGGCGAAGTCCATAGGGGCTTGGCAACTGGAAGGTCACCAGTTCAAGTCCCGGAAAGACCAAGTGCTACCGAGTTGTCCCTGAGCAAAGCACCGTTCCCTACACTGCTCCCCGGGTGCCGTACATAATGGCAGCCCACTGCTCCTAACACTAGGATGGGTCAAATGCAGAGAAACCGTTTCGTTACACGGTACCTGTACTGTGTAATGACAATAAGTTGAATCTATCTATCTGTGTTGGCTATATTTTGAGGTAATTGTGATAATGATTGATTAATTGTTGATTGCACCTATACACAACCGTAATGCTTTATATTGTAATCTATCCATTTTTAGTAATGACGTTTTTGCTGCTGCTGCATATATATTATACACCCGTAATCCAGAGTTGTCCTCATAATTGCCCTATAGATGTCAATTAGTGCCTGTTTGTCTGCCCCCAGTCTCATCCAGCCACTGCTCTTAATAGGTTCAAAACTTTTTGGGATTTTGTTTCCAAATGTTTAATATGGTTTTTCCATGTACATTTACTATCTAACCATAGCCCCAGATATTTAAATGCATTGACCTCATTCATCGGCTTTCCATATGATGTAAGCTTCTCAGTCTCCATCTTGCGTTTATTTGTAAATGTCATGAAGCAAGATGTGCTTGCTGACAGTTTGAAACCCCAGTTGTATGACCACTTCTGGAACATTTCTTCCCCTTATCCATATGTCCCCGTCATCTGCATACAACGCAGATTTGATGCATCCGTCCAACTTAGTCAATATGTCATTTATCATAATGTTAAATAATATCAGGCTGATTGAACTCCCTTGGGGAATACCATTTTCTATATTGAAGTCTTTCGAAACCTCTGCCCCTACTTGAACTCTGAATTTCCTGTCTGAGCCAAGATCCTGTTACTGTCACTGTTACTGTCACCTGTCACTTAATTTGATGAGTAACCCATCCCTCCACATAGAGTCATAAGCCTTATCAATGTCAAAATATACTATTGCCATAACCTCTTTCATTTTCAGTGTCTTCACACTGTATTCCCACCTCATTGATCACTCTAACCAAAGCATTGTGGATCTTCCTTTGCGAAAACCAGTCTGGAAATTACTCAGCAACCCTCTTTGTTCTAAGACATGTCTATGTCATCTTCTCCATCCATTTACACAAGTGTGATGTTAATGCTATGTCTGTAGTTACTGAATACCTTGTTTTGTTCTTTAATAGCTCTGCTACATTCCTCATTCCACCACGACACCACTTTCTTCCTATACCCTCTGTTGTTCTTTTTGGTATAATTATATTTGCTGCTTCTTTAATGTGCATTGTGATTTGATTTGAGCACTCCTCTATACTTCCTTCTAATGCTAACAATTGTGCTGACTCCTTACAGCAAATTCTACATTTCTCCCAGTCTGCTTTACCAAAGCACCACCTGGAAAATATACTCACTTCCTATTTGTGTTGATGATAGAGAATACTGGGTAATGATCACTTCCTATGGTATAGTCACGTTTATATTCCATTCACACGATTTAACTAAACTATCCGTCACAAGTGTGAGGTCCAAACATGATTGTGTCCCCCTATTCACGTCTATTCTTGTTTTTTGTCCATCATTAAGGCAAAACAATGATCTTTCCTCTAACATCACCATTACTGTCTGTTTGACTGCTTCCGCATAGGCTGTTGTGAGCATTAAAATCACCACACCATACTTCCCTTCTATGACTCGTCCCTGCTATTGTCTGTAAAGTTTCAATGTGAAGATTTTTACACGGGTTATAGAAATGTACAAGCTTTATGCTTCCTTCTTTCATTGGGCTGCACATTTCTACTATGACACATTCCTTGTCTTCAGGGGATGGAACTATGCTATTGGGTAGTAAATGTGTTTAGGTTAGGTAATTAATCTGGTACTGAGAGTTATTACAAAGCACTGTTCCTAAAGGCTAAATATAATTAATTGTTTACTTTTTTCGTTGTCTACTAAACCGGAAGCTAAAGAAATGGGCGGGGCAGGGCAGGGCTGGCCCTGACCAATTTGCCGCCCTAGGCAATATTTTAGCTGGCGCCCCCCCCCCCCAAAAATGCAGACACTCACTATGACTCGCGTGTGCACGGTTGTGGCATGACCACCAAAACAAAGATATTGACACAAGATGTGTGCAACTGTATTTAGTTTCCTATCCATTTGAACATGATTTAAGTGGGGGGGGGACCTCACCTCCTCGAGTGGGGTCCGGGGGCATGCTCCCCCGGGAAGACTTTTTTTTTTAATATTGAAGTTAAAAGCATCAATCTGGTACACTTTGAGAGCAACATTAGGAGATCTATGGATACATCTCTCAACATCCATATGAAACAGAACTGTAAGCAGATTTTCTTTTTCTTTATGGATATTTTACAAATCACTCCCCTTTCAAACTGTATTCTTGTTTATTAATAACAACCTATTTGTACTGTCAGTATTTTATACCTGTTTTTCACCTATTCTCTTATTTTTTTATAACTATAATGATCATATAAAGATGTGCCTTTACCTCACTGAGCTGAGGTTATCAGAGCCTCTCAGTCTTTCAGGAGAGAGCTCTCTAAAGCTCGCCCCCCGCGGCCGCTCACACAGTAAATTCCAATGTTAATAAAAGCACACAGAAGCTGTGTAAGTTTTTTTGGGAGTTTGATTTATTTTAAATGAATACAAATACAAAATTAAAACCTATAATTGCACACTAAAACCCTTATTTTAAAAAAAGAACAATTTCACATAAACCTCTGGTTTTTACTGGGACTGGGGCAGTTCAACTTGGGCGCTGTACGCAATATAGGCGTAGTTCTGTTAGTATAAGATAATAAGATGTACTTTGTTGATCCAAAATCGGGAAATTGTGTTGTTATGAAATAAAAAAAGTTTTTTTTTAAATTTCTAATTTATTTATTTTTCGGCGCCCCCTATGCGCCCTTAGCATTCGCCTATATTGCCTATGCCGAGGGCCGCCCTGGGCACAAGGCAGAAGGCAGAAGAAGAATCTTAGTTGTAGAAACAGTAGACTCGTCGAAAAATGTCCACGAGAAACTTCATCTTGCATTGCAAAAGGACAATAAATGACTGCACAAGACTTCTCCAAACAGATGATGGTCATGCTGTGTTACAATCCACAATAGTGAGGTAAGGGCCCAGCCTATCGCTACTATCGAACACAAAGGAATGCAGTTTGTTTTTGCATGTAACTTACTGAGGGGCTGTGAGATCTTTCACACTTACAAATTATGTCTTCTCCCCTATTTCACCAAACCGTTTACTGGCAGGTTAGAAACAATGGAGAGGAGCATCGAGTGGTCACGGGGCAGGCTAATTAACGTCCATACAGATCTTTTACTTCAGGACCTTCGGGAATATATAGATGAAGTCCGGAGATCTTGGCCTACCACAACCGCACAACAAGGTAGGTCGATGTGATGTTACTTTGGTGTTCGTGACAGGTCCTGTTTTAACTGCTATTACATGAACACAAAAACCATTAATCATCACCACATTTAATGTAACACCCTTTCAAACTGTAGATATTGTATCAGACTACTGGTGGTATACATGAAAAACTGCAGTAAATATACAAAGAATATACACCTAAGGGGATGGGCACATAAGAGCAGGAAATGTATCAAATTGTTGCGTGTGCCAGGTGTGATTCACATGGGGGGGATGGGCACATAAGGGGTGGGGGTGTGTGTGTGTGTTTTATCTGATCCGG